CATAGTGATGAGTCAGAGTAGATTTGAGGAACAGGAAAACTACTTACAAAATACATTTTCCATAGGTTCATTATTTTCCATTCAAGTATCTTTAAGATTTTTTTTCCAGGAACCTGTTCATTGGCTATATCTTATTTTAATAGATGGAAAAATAATTTATTATTATTATTATTATATTTTTTATTATTAACCACTTGCCCTTCAGAGGATTTACCCCCTGTCCTGACCAGGCCATTTTTTGCAATACTGCACTGCTTTACTTTAGCTGACAATTGCGCAGTCATGCAACGCTGCACCCAAATTAAATTTTTATCCTTTTTTATACTAGTAATGGCAGCGATCAGCAACTTACAGCGGTACTGCAAGACTGCAGCGGGTATTCTGACACTGGGGAGGGAACTGATCAACTGTCACTGGCATCCCCAGTGACACTAATACAGTGATAAGTGCTAAAAAGCACTGACACTGTACTAATGACACTGGGCAGGAAGGGGTTAACATCTGGGGTGATCAAAGGGTTAACTGTGTGCTGTACAGAGCAATACAAAGCAGCATACTGGTGCTGACAGGGGAGAGATCTGTATTGATTACATACAGACCTCTCCCCTGGCAGTGTTCCTCTGCGATCACCGAGTGCCGGTGGGGAATCTCCTTCCGGGATCCAGTGATCGACAGCTGTAGCTGCCAAAGGCTGCATGGGTAGGGCAGCATGCACGCACCCCCTACCTGGAACTACAAAATCACATATATATATATATATATATATATATATATATATATATATATATATATTGTGGCAGTGCGGTATCCTGCCATGGTGGAAAGCACGATGGAGACCCAGGATTCTCAACCATAGAGGTTGAGGGGCTCCAGGCAGATCTCCTAATGCAGAGGAAACTGGTTTATCAGTTTCCTCTTTGGTTGGTAAAGCCTGTTTTGGGACCTGTAGCCTGGAGATTTCTTAGATTTGGGAGGGATGAAATCTCCAATCCTGGGCCCATGTTTTGGGAGCAGCCAGCGTGCTGATTGCACAGGTGTGTGCAGGCCTTTTAGGGGAAGCCAGGCCATGATTCTGGGCTCCACCCCGGCAGTTAGGAGGGCTCCACCCAGGCAGACGGGAGGTCTCTGCCGTGGAGTCAGGTGGGCTACACCTAGGAGAGGTGGAAGCCAGACTAGCTGTGTGTGCTAGTGCCATACTTTGGGAAGAGTCTGCAGGAGGCAGACTTAAAACTGCGTACAAGCCAGGAGGCTGAATACTGTTCATTTGAATTCGTGTGATGGTGGATACCCCTGCGTGGGAAACCTTTATGTTATTGAACTGACATTTAAATAAAAGTGGGCAAACAGGCCCTTAAAAAATAAGCGAGTTGCTGTGTGCTTTGAAGAAGCTCTACCACTCTGAAGCGAGTTCCCACAATATATATATATACACATACACACACACACACGATTTTGTGCAGTCCTGCCGCCCTGTACCAGTAGTTCTGCTATATGGTGGTCGGGAAGTGGTTAACAGGATAAAATAAATAATTATTGACAAATAAATACATTTTTTAAACTAATACACATTATGATCACTTTTTTTACTGAGTAGTTAACTAAACCACAAAGAGTTCAGTTCTTAAACCTAGAAGCTGAATATACTTTAAAGCCATTGCCCCAAAGTAATAAGTTTTAAGGGAAAATGTTATTATTTTCAAAGATTTAAAACAATAAAAGAGACAACCACATAACAAATATCCGCTCATGTCAATTCAGTATAACAGCTTAATAGTAGCTCACAATGACAACAGAAATGTATACATACCGCAAATAGGATAATCAGTGCCCATACACACAAAGATGTCCATATATTATAGCAACTGTAAAAGAAAGTCTTCACAATTTTCAGTATACTGTCCCTGTTGTAACCAATTAGGGTGTCATTATGAATCCGCAATGTTTACTATTCTTTCGTATCTGCTTTAGTAAATATTATGACGAGAATGTATAAGGTAACATTCAGTAGAAGGAGTATCTTTCCAAAGGTATGGTATTTTGTGTTTCAAGCCAGATCTTATCAAAATTATATGGACAACCACAGGCCTCAAAAATCATTTTATACAAGTGGATTGCCTGATTGGTAAGCTTCTACTTTTTGGAGGAATGTGGCGTTTCCACTGAAGAGATATTACACTTTTGCCAAATAAATCTGAAAAAAATTAGGGAAAAATTAGAAAAAGTTTGGTAACTCAGAGACCTCTGAATTCCTTACCAAGCTTTTGAGTAACTTGAGTTACAGATGTTGGGTACATTCAAAAGGGTGACAACAAAGCCTGTGATTTTGGATCATAAAACTGTATTGTTGAGAAAACCTAAATCATATGGCAAAATTTTCAGTGTCAACTAAAGATTTAGGGCATCCAGGGGTAGACAGTTTACCCATTTTAAAAAATACATATGAGGAATAAATAAATAATATGGTGAGTGCAGGGGCAGACTGACCATTTGGAAACTCGAGCACTGCCCGAGGGCCCGGGGTCGTAGGGGGTCCCATGAGATGCCCCTGGTACCTTTTTCATAGGCTTTTTTGAGTTTGGGCAAGGACACAGGGGCCCCATGATCCCTATTGCTCGGGGGCCCCATAAGATCAGTCCCGCCCCTGGGTGAGTGTATTTAGTTTGGATTAGTTTGTCCCTAGAGGAAATAAACTAGGTCATGTTAGAGTCAAGGTTTTTTTTCTCAGAGAATAGGTGCAGGTCCTTCTGAGTCACCCTTGTCTCCACCCCCTACCCACCTTCAAGTATTGTTCCTTGGTTTCACCCCTCCTCACCTCCCAGGACCACCCCTTTTAGAGAATATAGAACCAAGTATAATTTTAGAGTGCCAAGTAATTTGTTTTAGAATAGCAGTGAAATAGATTCCCTTTAGCCAACGACAAGAGACCCCCCCAACCAGCAACAATAGATCTCCCAGCAACAATAGATCCACCCCAATGACAAAACCCCCCAGCAACAACAACAGATCTGCCAGTAGCCAGCATAAATAAACCCCTCCATCAACAGTAGATCTCTCTCAGCAACAAATGACTCCCCAGAAAAAATAGGACCCCCTAGCAACAATAGATCCCCAACAAGCAGCAACAGAACCCACAGCAACAGTAGAGCTCCACGCAAATATAGATCCCCCAGCAACAATAGATCCATCAGCAGTCGGCATCAATAGACCCTTTAGCACACCCCAGAAACCCTTGCCATTACATACATTCAGTGCTAGAGGTTACAGAACTGCATTCCCCCACGTTCCTGCTGAAAAAAAATCCCTGGTTAGAGCCCAATATGTTCTGCCAGGCATTCTGTGACAAGCACTACAAATCCCTCTGTCACTGAGATTTAGTCAAAGTTCATCTTTTTGTCATACAGTGTAATAATACAACAGAATACATACTGATTAATTGATGGTGTCCTGGATGAAAAAGCAATGGTTCCAACATAAAGCATGTAGAACTACACCATCCAATCCCAACTGTGCAGCTGCTCTGTGTCTTTTTGGAAGTAGCGAAAATCTGCAGATTGAGGTATGCCGTATTCATTCTGAAAATAAATGCATGATCACAAGGTGCCACCATTGTACAGATGAAATAAGTATTTAAATAATGGGTCCAAAAGAAACCATCTTGAATTAAAAAATAATTCCTGTATCTGCGGGCAGGGCTGTGGATAAGGTTGTACCACCAGTCCTCCTGTACGGGGCCCAGGCCTAAAGGGGGGCCCAGGCAGCTGGGTGAATTGATACAGGCTGGGAGAGTGATTGGCACAGTGGGGGAGGGGGGAATTACTAGAACCAATGGTTCTCTCTGCTGAAAGCTGGCTTCTTCTCCTCTCCCTACCGCTGCTCTTTCAGCTGTTGCAGAGAGAGCCATACAGGGGATTGGTTCTAGTAATTGCCCCCCCTGCACCCATCACCCTCCCTGTGAACCATAAGATTCCCCCTGCTGCCCTGGCCTCCCTGTGTGCCTCCACCTCCGCAGTGCTACCAGCTTCTCTTCTCTCCTTCCCACTGGCAGCTGCCATCACACAATAGGATCGTTCAGGATGGAAAATAGTGAAAAGGTCTGGTAAATATTTCACATTTGCCATCCTCATCCTTTCCAGAATGAACACAATGAGTGATCGTTGTCAATCACTCGCTGTGTTCATTCATAACTGAAGCCTCTCAAACTGTGTTTTTTTTTGGGGGGGGGGGCTGTCAGGTTGGCTGTATGGGGCCCTGTGGTTTCTAACAGTAGCCCTGTCTGCGGGTTATACCGAAGGATGGTGTTTGGGGAATAAGTAACCCCACGATTGGACAGGGCTAGATAGCTAATTTAGGAACCCACATGGAATAAAAATATATTTTAGATATATTTTTAAAATATTCTTCCCAAATATATTGACATATATTTGAAATACTACAATTTTGGCCTTATTCAATATATTTCAAAATGTATTTCAATACATATATATATATATATATATATACACACTGTATATATACTACATGTTAAAATGCATTTTTTATATATTACAAAATATATGAAAAGTATTTTTCAAAATAATTTTTTTAAAATATATTCTTCAGTTTTTTTAACATATAAAAAAGTAATTTTAACATATTTTACATATATTTGTAAATGCATTCCAAAAATGTAGATTAAATGTATTTTTAACCACCTTCCGCCCGCCATATAGTACAATAACGGGTGCAAGGTCGTTCTCTTGTTCTGTTAGGACGTCAAATGACGTCCTTCTATTCTCACCGCGCATGCGTGGCTCAGGGAGCGAGCATCGCGGCGATTGCCGGTGCGCTGTGGATCACGGAAAGAGTCGAAGATGTCAGCTAGGTCATGTGATCAGCTGTGTCCAATCACAGCTGATCACATGTAAACACAGAAATGCCGGTTATCAGCATTTCTCTCCTCTTGAGCTGCCACGCTGACAGCTCAAGAGGAGAGGAGAGCCGGTTATCAGCTTTCCGCGGAGGGGACATGTACACTGATCATCAGAGCACTGATGATCAGTGTGCCCTGATGATCAGCGTGGCCCCAGAAGTGCCACCTGTCAGTGTCCATCAGTGCCAGCAGTCAGTGCTCATCAGTGCCACATGCCAGTGTCCATCAGTGCCACATCAATGCCACATATCAGTGCATACCAGTGCACATCAATGCCACATATCATTGCCCATCTGAGCGGCCTTTCAATGTCACCCATCAGTGTCAGTCAGTGCCACCTATCAATGCCAATCAGTGCCACCTACCAGTGCTGCCAATCAGTGCCACTTATCAGTGCCAGTAAATGCCGCCTATCAGTGCCAGTCAGTGCTGCCTATCAGTGCCAGTCAGTGCCGCCTATCAGTGCCAGTCAGGGCCGCCTAACTGCCAGTCAGTGCCGCCTATCAGTGCCAGTCAGTGCTGCCTATCAGTGCCGCCTATCATGCCATATATCAGTGTCATGTATCAGTGTTGCCTTTCAGTGCCCATCAGTGATGCCTATCAATGCCCATCAGTGCAACCTACCAGTGCCTCCTCATCAGTGCCACCTATCAGTGTCCATCAGTGCAGCCTATCAGTGCCCATCACTGCAACCTCATTAGTGCACATCAGTGAAAGAGAAAACTCACTTATTTACAAAATTGTATAACAAAAACTAAGAAAAAAGGGTTTTTTTTTCAAAATTTTCAGTGGTTTTTGGTTTGCTTAAGAAAAAATAAAAATCCCAGAAGTGATTAAATACCACCAAAAAAAGCTCTATCTGTCTCAAAAAAATGATAAAAATTTCATATGGGTACAGTGTTGCCTGACTGCACAATTGTCATTCAAAATGTGACAGCGTTGAAAGCTGGAAATTGGCCTGGGCAGGAAGGGGGTATAAGTGCCCTGTAGGCTAGTGGTTAAAATCCATTTTTCCCCTATGTCCCATATCTTGGAATATAAGAGCCTTAAATAAAAACCAGGCATATCGTCAGATTGGCCACGAGGAGACCAACAGTTTGGTATGTCACTCTCCTTTGCTGGGATACATAGGAAAGCAGAAAAGTAGATCTCTTGACCCATTCAGTGTATAATTTCATATTTCATATCTAAGCATTCCACAGATGCGTCTTCATAATAATCTACCCGCGGGTGGAATGTCACTTGTACATAGGGAAAGTTATGAGCCAAAATATGAACTAGAAGAGATTCTGGCTCTAGTTTAGGTCTACGCCCAAACCTTCCCTCCCTAAACGGGGCATTGGTCCTTGACTTCAGAGACACCCCCTGCTAGGGAACTACAAAATGGGCTGTCAGGCCTAAGAGAGTTAAGTTGAAGAATTCTCCCTTTTAACATCAGAACCAACCTGGCCTTTCTCAAAGCTTATCAAAGCTTCTAGAAAGGTTATGGCTAAAACGCATCAGTTTCATGGATTCCATATTTTCCACTGTGTGCCAATAAAGTCATTATGATGAAGAAATGAGTTTCCAGCTACTTTGTCATATATCTTGGATTTAAAAACCAGCCTGAGCACCAGCACCCCACTTGCATCTTTCTGACGAGCATTAAAGCTTGGGCGAGTTGTTGTCTATATACAATTACTGGCTAGATCACCAGCTGAAAATAAAGGAGAGAAAGCCTAAAAATGAAAACAAATGCAGCCACCATATCTAATAATTGATAAGCTGCAATGCAAAAAATGGTTGCTTTCTGGTTTATTATCACCTGAAAGCAGACCCGTGGGGACCTGTTTATGGAGCCCAGTCCTTCAACATCATATACTTTCTTTCACTCTCCCACCACTCTGTTCAGCCACAAGCACAAAGAAAAAAATTACATGTACATGTGACTCATTTCATTTGAAAGCACTGGTGATTGGCCAGTCACTGTCACATGGGAGCTAAGAGACAGTCAGCCCTGTGTAAGCTTTGACTAGGGATCCTTCTAACATGTACACATGACTTTCTCTTCTCACTCCCCAAACCTTTCCTCCACCCACTAATATGTACTATTCCTGCTCATCTCTGTTTAATTGTTAGGGCCCTGAAAATGAGCCCTGTGTAAACATTGTGTCAGTTTTGGTCTCTGTCAGAGCTTACACAGAGTTGTTCAATTTACCACCTCCCCCAGGTGATAGTGTTTGGGCCTGATAATTAGCCACTCAGACCCAAGCACTGAATTCTGGGAGAAAGGTCATATTCCCTATTGCATTTTGCCAGTCCTTAGATGTGGTGGATGCGTTTGTTTTATTACTTTTCATGCTGAGAGCATTTATACTTCAAAACTTGCTGTTCATGAGTTCCTGTCCTCAAACCCCCTACTGTATTTCTCGTATTTCTTCTCCATTGGAGTTATCAACAATCATTATGATGAGGAAATGAGTTGCCGGCTACTTTGTCATATATCTTTGATCTAGCTAGTAAGTGTGCTGTTTTTCAACAGATTAGGCTGCCCTGCAGATGTAGCAGTTAGGGGGTTGAGACAAACAAGCTGCAATATATGGTATTACATTTTTGCTTTTGGGTTTAATGCTGTTTTGACCTCTTCCCTTCGGTCCATGTCGATAAACGGCCGGACGGGAGCACTGCTGATGCAGGTGGACTTTTATAAACGTCCCCCTCGCATCCATTGCCTGTGCGCGCTCCCTGGGAGTGTGCGGCACCGTGATCGGTGCTCGCTATACGGGACCTCTGTGTGAGGTCCCAATTCATGTGATCACTGATTGGCCAATCAGTGATCACATGAACAGTTGTAAACAATATGTCACTTCCTGACATCATTGCTTACTATGTGTGAAATCTGTGAATGATCACAGAGGTCACATGGTACAAGGCTATTCACAAGAGCCTTGTACCATGTGACAAGCTGTGACCAATCACAGCTTGCACAATCTTGCTCAATGGCTGCAGGAATGCAGCCAGAGAGAAGGAGAATGATTGCTTTTACAGCCTTTATGGGTGTAAAAGCAATTAGTGTAAAAAAAGAAAAAAAAAATCTTCATCACCCCCCACAAGAAGTACAGTGTCACTATGGTATGTTAAAAAAACTATAATATAAAAAAATAAAATAAAAATGTAAAAACAAATTTAGAAAAAAATTATAATTTTTGATTATACACTAATTTGGATTATTTTTTTTTTACTAAAAAGATAACTGAATACATTTTGGCCAAGATTTATGAAGAAAGATTATTTATTTGCAAAATTTTATAAGAAAAACACTTTTTTTTTTTCAACATTTTTGGACTTTTTCATTTATATAGAAAAAAAAAAAAAAATCCCAGTGGTGAATAAATACCAGAAAAGAAGAAAGGCAAAGAGAGCACTACAATGAAGCTCCCGTGACACCAAAAAGGTACCAAATAACCCTCCTGAATCAATAATAAAAATAAAGTAGGTGCAGCGCTGAGATCCAAGATACAAATAGAAATAAAGTGCTACATAAACAACAGAATGCTGACTCAATCAATCAAAACCAATTGCCAATAAAATAGATAATAAAGTGCCAATAGTGCTATTGGTGACCATAAATGAAATCATGAGATATAAAGTGACTTGTGTGATGTATAATGTGCTTGTGTGTGATGATCATATACATAAGTCCGATAGGTGATCAAATGTGTATAATCTGAGGAGAGCCACTCAAGGTGGCTATGGTGCTAATAAAGTGAAAAGTCAAAAATAATGAACGTGAAGATCCGTCAAGAGATCTCAGTATAGGTGGTCCAAACTCCTATCTCCAATTCATAGGTGGTATATCTGGTAATAGAAAAATTGCGCACTCACCAGATGCTCAATATCATCATGCATTTGAGAACACATCTGTCTCATCAGGTCAGCCAGAACATCTTAAGGTATGTACAGCCTGGTCATGGTTCCCCTCTGGATCCTCCGTGGGTAACAGCACATCTAACTTTCTCTTTAAATGGCTCTCTCCATTTCAATTCACAGCTGCTGTTATTTTCTAAAACTGTCTAAAGGTCTAATGTAACTTCTTTGCCGCATGGCATCGGATTTGTATCTTGGATCTCAGCTCTGCACCTACTTTATTTTTATTGGTGAATAAATACCACCAAAATAAAGTTTTATCTGTCTCCAAAAAATGCTAAAAAATGAATATGTATACAATGTTACATGACCGCGCAATTGTCATTCAAAGTGTGATAGCACTGAAAGCTGAAAATTGGCCTGGACTGGAAGGGGGTGAAAGTGTCCGGACTTGAAGTGGTTAAGCACAATTAACAAATTAGTAATATGAACCACATAAGACATACAAAAATCTGAATTAAATGTCCTAACAACAACATCTAGACATCACAGAAAATAAACTCTATATTAATGCATTGTTTAGTACCAGTGCTGCATACTGTTACGTACAACAGTCCTAGTTGGGAACATTTCGGTTTGTTTTCAATCTAATGTCATATTCTAAATATTTAAATGTGATTAAAGCTGTTTTAGAGCATGTTTTTAATGCAGAGAGAGGCAGACATCTGCTTAGCTTCCGTTTGCACTTTTGAATTTTTCGCAGTTCAATTCAATGTTGAGGGTTCTTCAGGTCAACCATGCGTAAGGCTTGTTCTGCTCTTCTTCAGCCCAAATAAAGTTGGTCAGTGGCATGTGCCACAACTTGTGGCTTTGTTCCCCCGCTGTCCTTGCTCCGATGTGACCTTGGTGAGACATAGTCATAGTGCCTGCCAGTTTGCAAAACATCTATAAATAAAATGTAGGTTACTGTGCACAGGGATGAACGAGTCCATGTCCTCACATTCTTTTTTTCGTGAAAAAGGGATTTTGTTTGGATCAACAAGTTGTTATTCATTGAACTTTAGATGTTTCTTATACAATTACCATTAACTGTATGTGACACTTGATGAATAATCTCAGCTCCTCTTACTTCATTCATTTTAATAAAACCAATTCTGCAATAACTGTAGTTTAACAGATTTGAACTGTATAAAAAATGTAAAGATCACCATTTCTATATAATAGCCCACAACTAGTTGCATTAAAGTTATTGGATGCCAGAGAAGACATTTATCATTTCTGGCTTTGTTTCTGCCCCGCTAGATACCTGCAATCACCTACTCATTGCAAAAACCAGCATATGTCCTTCAAAACTAAACTTTTAAATATGAGCGGACATTCTTTTAGTTGCTAATTTTGAATTTTCATAGGGTACATGTATTGTTTCTGCATTTAAAAAGGATTTTTTTTTTACTGTCTATATGCATTATTTCAAATAAGCACAGCATAAGAGTAGCTCTGTACAGTGGATTAAATGCTTCCCTCCCAGCCACTGTATATAAATGACCGGTCAGGAAAAGCATAATTCTGGGAGGATATACCTATGCATCCTCCCAGAACAGACGCTTGTGTTCGGCCTTTGCGCAGCTCAGTAGCACAATCTCTGATCGTTGTCCACCAGACGCAAACGATCATAGATCAGGATACAGGACTACTGTGATTGGCCCTGTACTATGTAATCGCTGTGGACAATCACAGCAATCACAATAAATAGTAGTAGTTTATGACAGCATTGTTTACTTTTGTGATTGGTCACATCGATCACATGGCACAGCGGTCCTGTACCATGTGATAGTTGTGGCCAATCACAGCTATCACAGTATTTCTATATGGTTTCATGAATGGTAGATGAACAGTGTCAGAAAGGATTGCTTACACGGTCATCAAAGTCATCAAACTGTAAAGAAAGAAAATCATAATCACCTTCTGTCCTTCCCCAAGCAGTACAGTGTCACTATGGTAACACTGCACTGCTCTGGTGACAGTATGTAAAAATAAAAAATGTAAAAAAAAAAGTTTTTATTACATACTGTAACTAGAATAAGTGCAATGTCGCTATGGTGAAATACTGCTGTGGCATTCATCATGTACAATGGCTGGCTGCTCTGATATCACTGTATGCCAGTGCTACCAGCCCTTGTCTATGATCACTGCCAAAGCCACAATGTCACCAGAACAGTGCTTTCAGTCAGTGTCCTTAATCACCATTGCACCAGACACAATGTACTTGATCACCACCACACCAGTTACAGTGTCTCTGGTCACCGCCTCACCACCAGTCCCCAGTGTCCCTGATCACCACCTCACCAGTCCCAGTGTCCCTGATCACCGCAACACCAGTCCCGGGGTCCCCAATCACCGCAACACCAGTCCCGGTGTCCCTGATCACTGCCACACCAGTCCCAGTGTCCCTGATCAATTTCACACCAGTCCCAGTGTCCCTGATCACCACAACACCAGTCCCAGTGTCCCTGATCACTGCCACACCAGTCCCAGTGTCCCTGATCACTGCCATACCAGTCATAGTGTCACCATAAGGACTTGCTTACATGTGCAATGCTCTCTGAAGAGCCATCCATGTTCAAATTGCTTTTCAGAGAGCATTTGACAGGCAGTAGAAGACGTTGTATTGCCTCCTAACTACCTGCCTTAACCCCATGGACCCCACACAAGCACCCTCTTTCACTTGAACCAGTCCCAATCGCTGGGCATACAGGTGTTAATATTCCTGCGACAGCTGTGAAACAAAGCCATGGCATGTGTACACATGGTCGCTACCTCTGTAGCTAAAGGAGGTAGTGGTTTTACCGCACTCTCAACCTCACGTGGGAATGAGCCCTAATAGTGCAGCCAGTCACCGTTCTCTAAACACCAGAACACCAGTCAAAGGGTCACCAGACCAATGTAGCTAGAATCAGTGTTCCTGGTTGCCAACAGACCAGACCAGTGCAGTAAGCAACAGTTTTTTTCAGATCATGCCTCACCAGTCCTAATGTCACCAGTTCAATGTATTACAGCAACAGTATTTCTTATCACTGCCACATCACTCACAGTGTCACCACATCAGTGTAAGCCAACAATTGTGTCCCTGATTGTCGACACACCAGTCCCAGTGTCACCAGACCAGTGTAAGTCAGCAACAGTGTTCCTGATCTTGCCAAACCAGTGCAGTGTTGTGCCAGTGCCCGCCTGGAATGTTTATCGACCACATATCATCCTGGTGCCTGGACCAATCTTTTGCTTGTTTGCTGACCATGTCTCATCCTGCATCCTGAATGGAGCCAATGGAATGGAGTCTATATATCCAACTGGCTGTGTCCTTGTTAGACACCAGTCCTAGCCATCCCCTGCAGATAACTGCACTCCTGGCACCACTGGAACTTTTTGTTCTTTCTTTCTTCAACCTCCTGTACTTCCTGGCCACTAAACATGGCATCCCTGGGGGTAATCATGTGCCAGTAGTCTAGGCAGGCTTAACTTATTGGAACAGGGACTGCTGTAGGTGATGCTAAACTAAGTTATATTCCCTAACCACTCTTAAAGAAACAATTGAATACTGTCCGTGATACTTTTTTTATTTGCACTAACATACAATTTTGAGGACAAGCTTTCGGGGTATGTCCCCTTCTTCAAGGTCTAAGCAGTACTATTACAAATCACAAAGTTTAAGCAGAATGTTAGAAGGGATTGAGAAAAAAAAAAAAGGCTACAGATAAGATACATCGAAAGCGAAGGGGAAGGGGGGGGGATACTACACTCACACAGAGGGGGTCAAGCTTCAGCTAATAGATAGTCATAAAGCTGTGGGATAATGGTTGAGGAATCCCATGTCCAAGTTAAGGCCGTTATCTTTTGTGTCAAATAGAATTATCATTCTTAGTTCAAATGTTTTTCTTTCCTGGATGGATTTGAATTTTCCTTTCAGAACTAAAATATTGAGGTCTTTCATATTGTGGCCTGGTTGTGTGAAATGGTGTCCTACAGGTGTGCAAAAGTCATCTTCTTTATGTTCCTTGATGGTATGTCTGTGCAAATTCATCCTTGTTTGCAACTTCTGTCCTGTTTCGCCAACATAAGATCCTTTGCTGCATTTTATGCACTGGATAAGGTACACAACATTACTGGAGGTGCAGCTGTATGATCCGGAAATATTGAAGATCCCTTTTGAGTGTCTGACACTTTTTGATGGATTGATTTGGTTGCACAGCTTGCAGCGTTTCTTATTGCAGAGTTTGCTTCCATTATTTGTGACATCATAATCAGAATAATCATAATATATATCATATATATCATCATAATATATATATGTGATTTTGCATTTCCGGGTAAGGAGTGCGTGCGAGCCACGCCACTATTCACAGCCTTGTTTGTCAATCACCGGGTCCCAGCCAGTGATTACATGTCGACACCCAGTGATCGCGGAGCATTACCGACGGGGGAGAGAACTGTATGTAAACAATACAGTTCTCTCCCCTGTCAGCTCCTGCACACTGCTTTGTATAACTCTGCATAGCAGAGCCATGCAAAGCAGTGTGCTTACAGTTGAAAGCACAGACACAGCTTACAGCAAAACAGCACACAGCACACAGTTAACCCTTTGATCGCCCCACATGTTAACCCCTTCCTGCCTAGCGTCATTAGTACAGTGTCAATGTTTTTTTAGCACTGATCACTGTATTGGTGTCACTAGGGATGTCAGTGACACCAAGTCAGTTCCCCCCAGTGTCAGAATGCCCACTGCAGTCCCGCTATAAGTCGCCACCATTACCAAAAAAAAAATCACAGTATATATACTGCCATTTGTAAATGCTATAACTTTCACGTAAACCAATTAATTTACACATATTGGGATATTTTTTTTAGCAAAGATATGTAGCAGAATACATTTTTGCCTACATTTATGACAAAATTCGAGTTTTTTTACATTTTATTACTGGACATGTTTAATAGCAAAAAGTCAAAAATATAGTTTTTTTCTCAAAATTGACAATCTTTTTCTTTAATAGCGCAAAAAAATAAAAACTGCACAGGTGATCAAATACCACCAAAAGAAAGCTCAATTTGTGCGAAAAAAGGACGAAATTTAATTTGGGTGCAGCATTGCATGACTGCGCAATTGTCAGTTAAAGTAACGCAGAGCCGTAATGTAAAAAATGGCTTGGTCAGGAAGGGGGATAAATCCTCAAGAGGGCAAGTGGTTAACAAGCTGTAAAAAGATGGGGTTTAAGTGAAAAGTAGCATATTATTATTATTTGGTACAAAAACCACTATATTCACTTTAAACTAATTACTTGCTCTTTGAATGAATAATGTATAAGTCTTTATTACCATTTGGATTCTGCACATCATGATTTGTTTAGCATTTTATTCACCATATTAGATGAGTGTCCTGTAATTGGCATGACACAAAAATAAAAAAAAAAATCAAAGCAAACCTGTCACCACTCATCCAAAGCCAACCAGCAGTATACTATATGTACTTCATAATCAAGATATTTAACATTACTGTCCTTTATCTGTCAAAATGATTTTGTTGAGTGGTTACAGAGCTATGTTCTTAAATTAGAATATCGTGCAAAAGTTCATTTATTTCAGTAATGCAACTTAAAAGGTGAAACTAATATATGAGATAGACTCATTACACGCAAAGCAAGATAGTTCAAGCCGTGATTTGTTATAATTGTGTTGATTATGGCTTACGGCTCATGAAAACCCCAAATCCACAATCTCAGAAAATTAGAATATTGTGAAAAGGTACAATATTCTAGGCTCAAAGTGTCCCCACTCTAATCAGCTAATTAAGCCATAACACCTCCAAAGGGTTCCTGGCCTTTAAATGGTCTCTCAGTCTGGTTCAGTAGGAATCACAATCATGGGAAAGACTGCTGACCTGACAGTTGTGCAGAAAACCATCATTGACACCCTCCATAAGGAGGGAAAGCCTCAAAAGGTAATTGCAAAAGAAGTTGGATGTTCCCAAAGTGCTGTATCAAAACAAATTAATAGAAAATTATGTGAAAGGGGAAAGTGTAGAAGAAAAAGGTGCACAAGCTGCAGGGATGACCGCAGCCTGGAGAGGATTGTCAGGAAAAGGCCATTCAAAAGTGTTGGGGACTTTCACAAGGAGTGGACTGAGGTTGGAGTCAGTGCATCAAGAGCCACCACACACAGACGGATTCTGGACATGGGCTTCAAATGTCGTATTCCTCTTGTCAAGCAGCTCCTGAACAACAAACAACGTCAGAAGCATTTTACCTGTTCTAAAGAAAAACAGACCTGGTCTGTTGCTCAGTGGTCCAAAGTCCTCTTTTCTGGACCACTTTTGCATCTCATTTGGAAACCAAGGACCCAGAGTATGGAGGAAGAATGGAGAGGCACACACTGCAAGACGCTTGAAGTCCAGTGTGAAGTTTGTGTTGATTTGGGGTGCCATGTCATCTGCTGGTGTTGGTCCACTGTGCTTCATTAAGTCCAGGGTCAACGCAGTCGTCTACCAGGAGATTTTGGAGCACTTCATGCTTCCTTCCACAGACGAGCTTTATGGGGATGCTGGCTTCATTTTCCAGCAGGACTTGGCACCTGCCCACACTGCCAAAAGCACCAAAACCTGGTTCAATGACTGTGGGATTACTGTGCTTGATTGGCCAGCAAACTCGCCTGACCTGAACCCCATAGAGAATCTATGGGGCATTGCCAAGAGAAAGATGAAAGACATGAGACCGAACAATACAGAAGAGCTGAAGGCCGCTATTGAAGCATCCTGGTCTTCCATTACACCTCAGCAGTGCCACAAGCTGATAGCTTCCATGCCACGCCGCATTGAGGCAGTAAATGCTGCAAAAGGGGCCCAAACCAAGTACTGAGTACATATGCACGCTTATACTTTTCAGAGGTGCGATATTGTTCTATGTACAATCCTTGTTTTATTGATTGCATGTAATATTCTAATTTTCTGAGATTGTGGATTTGGGGTTTTAATGAGCTGTAAACCATAATCATCACAATTATGACAAATCACAGCTTGAACTATCTTGCTTTGCATGTAATGAGTCTATCTCATATATTAGTTTCACCTTTTAAGTTGCATTACTGAAATAAATGAACTTTTGCACGATATTCTAATTTTTCGAGTTTCACCTGTACATACTTCCCAGTAAAAATCAAATCATCAATCTCTGATACCCTGAAATTGCTTCAATAAGTTGTTATATTCGTTGTTTCTGCCTTTACTCACAAAAAAGCACAGTCTTGCTGCGGTAATCCAGGGTCCCGAACACTACTAGCGTGAACTGACAGGCCATACCTATTGTACTGCCATGATAAGTAATTAAAAATGACAAAGCAGTGGGAAGCAGGTCTCTAAGATTTGGACTGGGGAATGGTTTAATAATTACCAGGCAGGATTGCTTAATTATACATAAAATTGCTGATTAATGTTCGTGTTTTGCTTCTGTAGCTGAAGAAGTTCTTTGGCTTAACAGTAGAAGTCTTGTGTTTTATTATTATGGTTATGCAGTCAGGCTGCATTAAAAATTAATATTAGGTATTTTTTTATTTTTGTTTCAGGGCTCGTTTCTTTTTTTCATGTGTTAGTGTTTTTAAACTTTATCAAATCACCCGGTGTGGGCAGCATGTTGGAGATCTGGACTCCTGTTCAAACACAGAGCACATAAATGCAGATTTCCAGGAGTCAAGTACATCCATCATTCAACAATAATCAGATTCCTTTTATGTAAAGTTTAAAAAATATTTTGACTATATTTAAGTTTTATATACAATAACATGTAGACAGTAGGAAGGTCGAAGCCTTGTGTGCATATATGGCAGCCTTTATGGCTGAAAATGCAACTCTACTGGAAGGAACCAGGAACACCATAACTCTACAGACCTTCATTTCCTCAGATACCCTTTTTTATCTCTATTTTTATAAGACCCTGAGCTGCTGAACATCTATGGTCATAGAGACTTCCAAGATACCAGGAAAAATCTCTAAGGAGGGACAGCAGTGTTTTAGAACACCAAAATTAGTGCTGAGTTTGCAGTTTCAAAGGTGGTTATCAGACAATAAAAACACAAAGCAGGATAGAAAGCAAAAGACGGCCCTCGTTAAGAAATAGTCATGCTATTCTCTAGTGAGTGTATTAAAGTGTCATTAAACCCTAAGTTTTTTGTAATGGTTTTAGGGTTATATTAGCATTATATACAGAGTAACAAATGCTCAACTTTATTCAATTTCTATAAAGTAATACAAATCTGGTGACATCATTGTGAAGAGTGACGCAGGACAGTAAGTCCCACTGATCACCCTTAGGAGGGGCATTCCAGATTACACTGAGGGGGAATTAAAAATTCTACTAAACACTAATGCTGGAAAACATTTCTTTCCAATTAACACCAATGCTGGAAAACTTTTCTCCCCACTGATCACCAATAATAGAACACCATTTTGACAAATGATACAGAAGCATTTATTGCCCCTTCTGACTTTTGGGTATTCATTACTCCAATTGATTTTGGGGCATTTATGACTGCCACTGGTGCCAGGGCATTTATTACTACCACTCTATTTCTTAATGGTGTCTGGGAATTTTTACTCCCCCACTGATATATCACTCCCACTTACCACTAAGACCATGGCATTTTGTATTCCAATTGATTCCAGGATATTTGTCACAGGGGCATTTATTACTTCCACTGACCTCTTAGGTCAGGGTATTTTTTACTCCAACTGATGTCGGCATATTTAATCTCCCACTGAACACTGATATGGGGGCATTTCTTATTCTCCCTAACTTTCGTAATTTAACATAGGGACATTTTTTACTACTTCTGACCACTAACCTAAAGGCATTTTTTATTCCCACTGACCTCTGATGCAGGAGCATATTTTAAATCCTATTAACCACAACTGGGCCCCCAAAATGTCCAATGAACTGTAAACTGGCCCTTTGTTACCATTTTATAAAAAATACTATTTGGCCCCTTGTACACAGTACTGATGTTTGAACATCAGCAGTTCTGGGCGTAATTTCAGGCATTTATTTTGCACGTATTTGTACATATTTTTGTGCACATTTGCGCATATGCACATTCACATGCACAATACATTCCTAGGCAAAATCTATTACAATTTATGCTCATATGTGTATGTTTGCGCACATATGTGCATATTGGCGCACAATACTGACCAGGAACGCACATTTTTCTATTTTTTTTTTTTTACTCAGAAACACACAATGCTTGCTTATGCAACTGTGTGTACAGGCACATTGTAAAAAAGCTGCTGCATTTTAGATCAATTAAAAAAATTGCTGTACTGAGCTTTTTCAAGCTGCAGTGTGAAAGTGGCCTTTCAGGTACAATATAAACAATAGAATATTGGTAGCAAGCTCTAGAAAGTCATCTTGCAAGAAAACAGGATCCCACAATGGTTTGTATATTTAGATGGTTGCAACATGAAGTGTCTTTTGCTGTCATATATAATAAACAACAGGAAATATAAACCGTATTGAAGGATGCGGTGTAATTTCATACTGGAGTTAAACAGTGTATGCTAGCAGTGTAAATCTTATTTCCTATGTTTTGTCAGATTACAGAATTTGGATGAAACAGATAGTGAAAATTACATGTTAACTCTATAGGAATTTCTTTAAATATACATAATCCACATGTTAGCCGGAAAAAACATTCCAGTTTTAACTTTTTACGACATATGTTTTAAACATGGTGATTATTATGAATAGGAATGTAGCTAGTTGA